ATATGGGCGACTTCTGACTCATTTGGCGCTATAACGGTTCACGTGTGTATCGCGATCAAGACCGTATCGCGAATGACCTGTGTTGTATGTGGGGGGGGGGGAGCGTGAGATGCATGGTGTGAACACAGGGAAAGGTGTCTCACAACCTATTGTCTGGGTTATGTGACCAGTGTATACCTCCCCAACTGTTGTAAGCACAAGCCGCACCTAAATACAAGTGAAATGATTGCATGTGCATTCTGTTGCACTTATTTTTTCTCACAGGAGCATAAACGGAAAGAGCGAGAGCAGAATAAAGCCATACTTGTGGAAAAGAATCAGACTACCCTCGATATAGGTGCGTGTAGAAGCATTTTGCGTAAAACTATTGTAAACGGTGTGTCAGTCTGTGCCTAGAAACTACTCGGTCATATTTAAAATTCAAGGCAGCATTAACGATTGTAAAGTACAGATTGGGCGGATTTGTTTTAAAAATAGGGTCGGTGAAAACCAGAGGCTGTTAATTGATACAAGCTAAATATAATTCGTGGGATCAATAGGCTGTGTACGTTGTAGTTCAGTTCTGCAAAGTTCAAGATTGATAAATCTTTGTTAAAAATGTTGTTCTAACCTAAATGTCATGTCTAATTTATAAAGTGTTCGCCCAGATTTATTAATCTAATCAATATAATTTATAGGAGCAGCCGGAGAAGTGACGAAGGACCTGTCTCCAAGGAGAAGTGGCAGAACCAAAAGCCAATACTCTAATAGCCAGGGTAGTACTACTGCCAGCAGCAGTCAAGGTGTGCTATTTATAATAAGTCTACAATGAGCAAAATCTATTCATGGCAACATTTTTTTTTATTTTTTTTTGTGTCATTATAGTATCACGCTGTTTTAATATCGGTAATATCGACACGATTTTTACTCATCACAGCTAACAATAGTTATTATTAGTAAATATATGAATGAATATTATTAATGACTCAACAGGTAAACAAACAGTTAAATAGTGCAATTTAAAATCAGTTAATTAATCAACGTAGGTCAGCGCTGCACCGACGTCAGCGCCATCTATCGACGCCCCGGGTTTTCACGGGCAGGAGAGGTGCAGATGGGAAAGGCTGACGGCGAAGTTGTTGCCATTTGTGCACGTGCCCTCGGTGTAGAATGGATGCACAGTCAGCCAGGCGATGTCACAGCCACAGATCAACGGGTTATCCGTGAGATCTAGATGAACGTGGTCGTCGTTGTGGTGATGGTGATAATGATGATGATCATCCAGGTCGTCGTCAAACACATTCATGGCGAGGGTCGTAAGATGGTTGCCAGACAGGTCGACGTACTCAATGTCTGTCAGTCCCCTGAATGCATCCTCTGCGATGTAGTAGAGGTGTTGGCTGGGCATATCGACCGTAAGGATGCCTTCGGTATCATCAAAGGCTCCCGGAACAATCCACGTCAAAGAGCTGCCAGTGAAGTCTAGATGTTCAACGTGGTGAAGACCAGCGAACACGCCCGGCTGCAGTGACACCAGGCCATTGCCGCCTACCTCCAGAGTTTCCAGGTTTTCGACTTCAATGAAGGTGCCCGGTTGTAGGTAAAGGACGGCAGCAGAGCTCAGGTCCAGAACCTTCAGGTTATGCAAGCCGCGCAGCGCCATTGAATCAATTTACTCAACGTTGTTCTCTGCAAGGTTCAGTTCGATGAGGGTGCTGCAGAGTTCCTCGAAGGCGTCACGGCTTAGCTCCGTGATGTCCTTGCCCTTTAGACTCGGCCTTACAACGCTGTCTTTGATGGGAGAGAAGATGATCGCTGGCACGTAAGTCAACTTCAAGTAGCCAAGCGTGAGTTCTTCCAGATGATACATATTGGCAAAGGAGTGATCATACAGCACTGGCGCCACCCCGTGGTTGTGATTACAGTCATGAATCTTCATCGATCCGTGTTCAAAGTGCAGGCCGTCAAAGACGTGCTCAGGCACCTCCTCCATGTCGGAGAAACTTCTCAGTTCGATGCTAGCGTAGGTGACGTCACAGGGCAAGGCCGCCATGACGCTGAACGCTTGGCTGCTGGACATATCGTGACCATCGTAGACGATGTTAGGGTAGCCGCTGTGCGGGCCGGTGCATGTACACTCTCCTAGCACGTGCAGCGACGGACACGGAGGGTGGAAGTGTGGGTGAGCGTGAGTGACGGCGATGACCACGGCCGCCACGAGAAGGATGACCAGCTTGCACATGATTGCTGTAGTAACTCTTTGTATCTGTAACGGCTGCTGCTCCTTCATGGCAACAGTTCGCTAAAGATTGAGGGTTCAGATTGAAAACCTTAGAATTTTCACAGAATTACCTAGAAACCACGTGTTCCCAAAACCATAAAAAATGATCCAGGCAATGATGGAGTCTATGTCTAGGTCTCAAACGGTTTACCGTCATTTATAAATGTTCATTCTGGTCTCGTGTTTTCTCGTATTTGTAAGGATTGTAGACTTGCAGTCAGAACCTTATTGGCACACTGTCTTAGCGAACCAGTGCGGTCAACTAGTCTGTTTTCCAGATACTCAGGATCCTGCCGGCAAGAAAAAAAAGAGGGGTCGGAAGAGGAAAGCCGCTTCAGCACAGAGCTCTGACATCACGCAGTATTTCAGTAGTCCTGTAAGACATCTTTACAGTTTAAGCTTATCTGATATACAGTGTGTCCCCTGTACTGGCCAAAAAGGTCTGTGAGGTGGTAAATTTGTGTGTGTGTGTGTGTGTGTGTGCGTGCGTGCGTGCGTGCGTGCGTGCGTGTGTGTGTGTGTGTGTGTGTGTGTGTGTGTTTGCGCGTTTTGAGGTCCTAGCAAAGCGAGCACCAAATTTGTGGAAAAATGGTGCAATTCCGTGCATTCTAAGCTATATTTCGATTTTAGTTCAATAAAGTGTAGTTTATGGATGGAAGAACATTGATTTTCGTCAGCTGTTTTTGTACAAATTTCTGTGTGGCGGCTGAGAATTTGAGCGAGGCAGCGTCATGCGTGGGAATGCCGGGGAAACACTGATATATATAAAATCATGAGTGGGGAGCTGATTGGACTTAGTTTTGAAGACATTATCATAGCTGAGATTACAAGTGCGTTCTTCTTTAGTAAACCTGACGGTGAAAAACACCGCAGCGTTGTCATGTGATTTTTGCATTACAAGGAAGGAGTTGATCTGTGATTATTTGTTCCACTCTATTTTTCTGCCAGAAAAATCAAAGGCCCAAAGAGGTCTAATTGGATGAATGGAAGTAAAGAGGTGCCGGCGGTTAGAAGTACGAGTAAGCAATCATCTTGCACCAAAGAAAACCCATGAAGGTATTCAGTATTTATGATTGAAAATTATGATTTCAGCAAATTTTGTTTCATCGAATTAGTAACAACTCGAGGCATGTCTCTTGTGCTGGCGAGACGAGTAACATGTTATAAATATAAATTGATGTAATAGTTGTACATTCGTATTGCCTAACAAAGTTGAAGATAGGTGAAGACAATGTTGCAAAATTACATCTAACAATTGTATCGAGTGTGGATTAAATGTGTTTTGAGCAGCATTTACTGTGTGGGCCCCATGAGTGTTTTTTGTGTGTTGATCGCGAAGTTGAAATCTGACAGAGTGTGCACCTGCGAGGCCCGTCTTGGTGTTACCATTTCCAGCAGCGCTCTGGTACAGGTGGTGTTATGAGCAGTACCAGTGCGAGGGTTTCGAATCGTGCTTAAGGTAAGATTTGTCACAGCCGCAAGCTCTCGACGTATGCACACGTGTAAACCACCATCCGTTGTCAAGCTCTTCAATTACCCGCCGCGGAATTTTCAGCCAAGGTTGTTGGTGTGCACTGCGTTCAGAATCAGGGTATGCTACTTTACCCATTCGCAATTTTTCCTCGTAACAATAACGTACAAACTTACTGTACTACGCCAGTTTCTTACGCGTTACAGACTATCTTTCGCGAATTCAGACGTTGATGGACAATTTCGCAGTGGTGTGGGAATTTGAATCTTATTCGATATGAACTAATCCGCGGCAGTGGGAGACTGCGCGTCAGAGAATTCGCGAAACTTTAACCACGGCGAAATATCAGGTGTAAAGTACGTGGCACACGACACAAAGCGCGTTCATTGCGAGCGGGTGCACGGCTGAACCAATCAAAATCTGCCGCAGACCACTTCGGAATCACTTACCATGAATACTGTAACATACGTAACGATTAACGAAATACGCCAACAGGTAGATGTTGTAATCGCGATTTCTGTAACCTTTCGTAAACGTATCGGTCGTACCCCAAGTAACAGAATGATTCGGTTACAATCGGTTACTCGTCTAAGCGGTTTGAATGCTGCGTCGCTGCGTAACGTCCGTGTGCACTGTACGTGTGTGACTGATATGCTGCTTGTTTAGCCAGCATATCAAAATTCTAGTGTGTTCCTACGGCGTTTAGCACCTCAACAGGACAGTCACTGCCGGGCGAATGTCCGGGGTGATTCCCGAACTAAAAATAGCGATTGATATCTGATCTCGCCATCAGTTTTCCAAGTTTTCTTGTTCGAGTTTTACATCTTATTTTCGATTTCTTATTTTTTCTTTTTCCAATGAAACAGCGATTCTGGATTTGATAACAGCGCTTCGCGTTCGAGCCACTGTTCATACGATGATCGACAGTATAATCGATGATCGTGACATCATAGCACAGTGAGTTCGGTCTCGCGTGGGGCCTGAGCTTCCTGCTGGGCAGCAACCTTCACCGTCGTGCCTCTGCTTTAGCCCCAAGATGAGAGACGACCCGGATATATCGCGGGATATTTATCTAATGTGTGAGGTCGCGTTTTCTCTCCGGCAGCTTCTCTATGAGAACGGCTTAGTGAAACGGGATCCTTGGCGGATGGATGGGGCGCTGCGGCAAGACCCTGCAGTGCATCTCACTAAATCTGGCTCACCTCGTTTAGCATGGGCAGTGTCCGGACCATTTCCTCCTCATCGCACCGGCTCTCCACGCTCTCAAACTGGTCTGGCCAGAGCTTCCGCGAGGTTTCGCACCGACTGTAAGTTCTATAGCATACCTTGCACTTAACGTAATAAGCCGTACTTAACGTACTTACGCGTGCATCAGTTGTATAGTCTTAGCACTATTTTATCGTAATTAGATACTTAGCGTACTTAAGTATTAACTTGGTACATGGCTGACTTGAGTACACTAGAGTCCGGACAGGGTAAAACATATAGGCAGCGATGAAGCGATTCGCCTCAGTTCTCAAACCTCCGAAACACACAACTTTTTGAAAAAGGAGGTCCCCCGCTGAAAAAAAAAGTCATTTTTCCCTGGCAGTCAGCGGCGGTCGCCACGTTTGGGTGCCGAGGCGTCGCTTTCATTCATCGTTTAGAACACATGCGAGGCGACACACAAAGCGATTTGTGCCAACGGAAACGTCCTTGCAAACCCAACTCTTAACGAGTGTTTGCAGTCGATCGATTGGGGTGAAACTTTGAGATCTGCGGGTTGCGCAGTGCGGAATATAATCTCATTCTCAGGCTCCGCGCGCCTAGAATTTTGCTGAGACGCAGTGGATCTT